TTTTGTCCAACCCTGAAACACTTTGGAGTTGTGGAGGGGGAAACTGCCTCCCAGCTGTGGAGCTCATCCCCCTCCCCAGCTGTCAAATGAGTAAACAATTACTGTTAAAAATTGTTTCAATATGCTCAATGCATGAGCATAATTATGTTTGAAGAATCGAAGCCTGAAGGCGCAAGATGTAACTTCAGAGGTGCTTAATTTTTTCCTCCGCTGTTCCAATGTTTAGTACAGCAGATTTTGTTGTCATATGCTATTCGTTTAATAAAAAGAACTCCAAATGTATGACCCTTATGTGAAAAAATGTGTTTTGTTAGCCAAACCCCCAAATAATCGCCCCTCTTCATGATTCTGTGCAGGCACAAACTGAAGCCCTTGTTTTTAGTATTATCTATCATACTCTTGTCAATTAAAGATTCTGTTCATCAGCATAATCACTTGAATTTGGAGTAGGACATCCTTTTCCTTTTTATGTATATTTAAAAAATTGTGTTGAATTTGGAAATGGAAGGAGCCGTTAACCAAATCTGTTTGGATTACATGTTTAATGTAAATATGTATTTTATGCATGTGGTAATCAGATTTTTCTGTCGGTAACACTTTCCCTAACATTCCAAAATATAACAACAACAGAAGCAAAGTCGGTGCCATCTCAGCATAAAGGGCAGCAAAGGAACTTTGCCAAGTCTGCGAACATAATGATTTACCTTTAAATTTTCTAAGGAAATCTGGTGTTCATGAAGAATGCTGGGAAGCAGCACAACCCTAGCAAGCTATTGACATACTTTGGTTTTTAGGAGACTGATTTTGAATGCAGTATCAGGCTGGAATATTTTGTGTCTGGTTTTGATCTCACAAATGTCTTCTCTTCCTCTTAAATTTGTTCTTAATTAAATTTCTTTGCAATTTAATGTTTTATGTGGATTGCTTTGTCTGCTGACTGACTTCTGACCTTTTAGAAAGTGTGGATTACTTTCTCAGGAACGTTTTTTTTTTTTATTCCTAATTAGCCCTGTTTGTTAAACAAACCCAACCCTTTTTCCCTTTATTTTATACAGTAGATGTTCCAAAAGTTTGGAAGTATGGAATTCAGGCATCGTTGCTGTGATGATCTTTGTGTTTGCACCAGATTGTCTTCACTGCATTTCCGAGCTTTATTTTGTATTGAACCATAGAAAGATTTATTTTGCGGTACACAAGATGCGTTCTAAAACATGGTGCGTCAGTCCTGTTACAGTTTTATAGGACGTAACAAGCACAAGAATGTGCTGTGTTTCTACTATAGGATGCAGAAGGGAAAACTTAGTGTGATGCACCTGTCAGCTTTTAAAGCTTTTAAAGCTGACTTCTTTCAGTTTTCCTGATGCACATACGCCTTCCTCCTAAGCTTTTTGCTTGATGGGATTTGAACGTTGGTTCTGGCTTGTGAACCAAAGCGATTTTCCCTCCCCGTGTTTCAGAATAGCCTGTGTCTTTGGGAATTCTTTGTGCAGACCTTTTGTCTCCCAAGCTGGTGCTAGTATGTATCTGGTCTATAGAAAGTACTCAAGCACTTGCAATTTATTAACTAACTGAACTATTTTTAAGTTTCTGGTATGTTTTCATAAAGCTTTGTTTAGGAAGTGAGGTTTCCAAAGCAAGCAAACTTTGGACCCTCAGTGTTTAAAAACAAGCACATCCTTTGTATTGAATGTTACTGCAACCATCCATTGTCCTAAATAAAAAGACCGCTAAAAACACGGTCAGGCATCCTTAGATGATCTAAATCCTTTACTTCACTTTTCTTGTATGAGTGTCTCTGTCTTCCAAAGTACTGTTGTCTTTTTGCCAAAGTGCTGAATTATATTGCCAAATGTATTTTTTATGTGTTTTATCAGGGTTATGTGCCTTATAGATACTGTGCTGCTTACAAATTACGGCGCTTCATGCTGCTTTTGACTAGCAAATGTTCCGAAAAAAGTCAAATCCCTTCTCACAGAAGAATTTCTGTCTTTTCTAATATGGACTTCCCCATGTTAAAATGCCTCATTTGCAGAATCTTGCTTTATTGCTGCCTTTCTGACTTTGCTTGGTGTTTGACATACTCGGAATGAGACAGCTGACTGCTCTCCTGCGTGTGATCAGTTATGGATAGAGAACAGAAAGTCAGCACGCTCCAGTTTTCAAATATTGTTTGCACATGTTTTTGGGGATGTATTCTACTACAGGTAAATCCTGTTTCTGATGTTATGGTGAACTTTTTATCTGCTTAAAAAATACTGTGCTGTCGTTAGCATTAGGTTTTTCTTCAGTCATTGGTGTACTGTTATGAAATGTGGTTTCTAAAGACCTGTTTCAAGAATAATGTTTTAGATTGCAATACCAACTGGATAGATTTGTACATCTGAAATCCATTTAACCTTTGTATCAGATACCTTTGTACTTAAAGGCTAATTTTTCATGCCTAATTTTCACATGCAGTTACTGTGACTGAGTGGGCAGTTATGGTAAAAATCTATGCAAACATCAAGCCTTTCATCTAGGCCAGCTTTACACCTTCGACCACCATATCAGTGAATTAAGAATTTCATAAATAAGGGAAAAGAAATAAGCACACCTGGCCATGCAGATCTGTGCCTGATGTGTTTGGTCTCTCTAGCCTAAAGTCGTCTTGTCTGACTCTACCCTGTTTAGCTCATTATTGATTTTCCCATGCTCTTCTCTGTAGTCGTGTTCTGTCCATGAAGGTAGTGGTGTCTCTATCCAGTATTTCATGGCCATTCCTTATCACATTGATTAAATGATAGCTTTTGTGATCAGTAAGTAGAAGGTCTTTTCCTGTCTTCCCTCAAGAGAGCAGTTTCTGGGATGTTTAACGTCACAATTCTGGCATTCATCATCTTTCTCAAGCACTTGCCCTATGCGGCTTGGGTCTCCTTGCGTGCACAGGTCACTGCACCTGAGGTGTCTTTTCCCAGCTAATTCGTATTTCGTTTCCTCTTTGAATTAAGTAATAATTCAAATACCTAGCTAGGCTGGCTTTCTGAGAGTTTTCTCTCACCTACAGTTGATTCCTTCACATCTCCAAACAGAGCAGCCTACAATGTGAAAGTCATTAGAACGTATTTATGAATGAAATACGGACGCTTTTTCAAAGTCACCACAGAGCATGTGACTGTTTTATGTAGGACTACAGAAGAGCTTTTGTACGCACTGACAGCTGAAATCGTATAAAGAGTTAAAGCACAACTATTTTTATTGGACACTTCTACAGACATTTATAAATGTATTTCTCTGTGTAGCACGTATTAGAAATAGATTACACTGAGAAGTGTGGTCTCGGTATTCACAATACAGAATGTGCTTTCCTTTTGCTGACACCTGTGGAAAGGGAACTTGCACAGCAGCAGATAATTTCAGCAGATTTTCCTCCTTTACTACTCCCACTGCCTTTTTGGACACATAATATAGGGGTTGTAAAGCAGTCTCTTAAGTAACATGCTTGCTGTTGCTTGCCAGTGAGAGATCTTGGGGCCTTTAAAGTGTTTTTGAATTAGGTTTTGGATACCAGTGTTTTCCTCCTGTATGTTCTCTACTTGATTTCAAACTGCTTTTTGAACAGATTATAGAAAAAATTATCTGGAGTGTCAGAAAGTACATGTGTTTAAAAAATTACGATGACAGAAGAGAGAAAGTACTGTGCTTGACTGTGGTAGATCAGTAACCTGCAAATTGCAGTTTCTGAGGACTCCGGGCTCATTTGTAATACAGAGGAAGTACAAAGCTCTTTGTTTGTGTGAACGTGGGATTTTGCGGCTCTAGGCTTCAAATCATTTGTCTTGATACCAAGAGGAATATACGAATCTTAAAGAGATCTTTCAAGCGTAGTCATGTTGAGTAAAAGCATTTATTACAGCTTTGGAATGTTTAACTGCAGTATTGCACATCTAAATTGGGAAAGTTTGTAAGTACTGAAGTTTTAGGGAATGTTATAAATGTTCACATAGTTCTGGTTTTAATTCCTGGGGTCTGAACCTTTGGGTTTGCTTTTTCAAGTGTGGGGTTTTTTTTCTTTTTTTGCAGCCACGTGGATTATAGATTTAACATACAGGCAAATGCTCTCAACTGTTGATGCTTTATGCAAAATCTAAACCACTTGGAAGCTTACAATGAAATAGTAAAAGTATGTAGCAATATGAGGAGAAACCTTGAAACAGCTGACAATGCACAACGCTTCCTTCCCAGTTTTAAAGCCTTTTGTCCAGATGTTGAAACAAGTATTTCTTGTCATACCTGAAATAGTCTTTTTCCTCCTTCTTTTTCTTGGGCTTCCTTTTTGGGTGCACATGATAATGAACCTGGTTTGAGTTGGCAGCAGGACTCAGTCTGTATGAGCTTGGTTTCAAAATACTCAGCTCAACTCATGAGCGGGCGTTGTATTTGTTTAACAGCTTGGCAACTTAGCACCGAAGACTGGAAAGTGTGTAATGTGGCTCTTTAAATGACTTAATAGTAGTGGTAACATTTTCAGAGGATTCTAATTTTGTATTGCATTTTTCATTGGATTCCGATGAATTTTGAACTGAGCTTTAAAGGAGGGTTTGACCTTTTTTTTTTTTATAGGGAGGTTTATATGGCTTCCTACTTACCAGATGTATACATACTGTGGGGCACTACCAGTGAGAAAGAAATCTTTCTAGATTTGGCTTTGAAGTAGTGGATCCTTCCATTGGTTAGTGTTGCACAGCTTCAATGTGATAGTGCAGTTTCCATGGATAGAAGTGTAGATTAGGAAATTTCTAATATTCTGATATTTAAAAATACATAACTATGGTTATTTAATTTTGTGAATAGTTCTTGAAACCACATCACTATGGCTTTGACTTTTTTCATAATGTCATTGTATTCCTTTAGGCATTGTCAAGCATGAGGTGTGACAGTGTGTGCCATCTATGCATTTTCTGGAAAAAAACCACCCAGATTTATACTAATTTTCAGCCCTTTATGTTTTTCTCTAATTGCAGGTCATCTATTTTACAAATTTGGGATCACAGAATCTGACTGGTACAGAATTAAGCAAAGCATAGATTCCAAATGCCGAACAGCGTGGAGGCGGAAACAGCGGGGTCAGAGTCTTGCTGTGAAAAGCTTTTCAAGGCGAACACCTTCATCATCATCTTACAGTGGTTCAGGTAAAAAAACCCAGACAACCCTCTCCTTAACCCACAGTAACCAAACCAACCCCAACAGGAACTGAAACTTATAGCAATCATGCCATTTGCTTTTCAGTATACCTGAAAATTACCTTGATCTTAATTATATTTACAACAGGTGTGTGTAGTACCTAGAAATGTGGATATTTTTGCATAACAGAGGTAAATAGAGAAACCCATGTTTCTCACAATTGAAGTTTCGGAGCTGATTGTATATTCTTGCGTTTTTGTTTTGGAATTTATCATTGGTCAAGAGGCCTCTCTGTTACAGCATGAGTATACCTACAGTGTTTCTCAAGGAGTGTATCTATGAACTAAGTGAAGCTATCCATTCATAGTTAAATCATCGTGGGCCTCTGCAAGCACCTCCTGGGGTGACTGGCTTCCACCAGCCTTTGTGCTGCTTGGACCAAAGTAGATCCCTGGTGGGATGAGCTTCTAATCCTTTTTCACCTACAAATTGCAGTCACACTCTTGGTTGCAGTGCATTAAAGATCCTAGAAGGGAAGTGAGATGTGTAAATGTGTGTGTTCACAAGGAGAAGGAAAAGGAAGTCTATCTCTAGATCAGTAGTAAACTATGGATTTTCCAGAAAGGAGTGTAGGACATTCTCCAAAGCTCCATAGGAGTGGAGATTGGCTTTGTGGGTTTGTACATTATCTGAATGCCTGCCTTCATTGAGATGCTTAAGAACGTCCATCTCCATGTGTTAACTGAAGTACGTGCAGCTTTATGCTATGGTATGGGTTGTTGTTTTTTTTTACCATGGTGATTTTTTTCAGTAGAGGGTCAAAATGTTTCTGCAGCTGATATTCAAGAGGAGTTAAGTGAATAAATCTTTCTTGGTGTGTTCGCACCATTTAGTTGGACGTGCTAAATTTTGTTCCTGAAGTGTTTTCCTCTGAAGAGTTTAAATATGTTGTAGGTGATTTTATATTTCCATATAGGTATGTAGACATGAATAATAATAACAAATGAAAAATACTGGCCTAAGAAGTGTTCTCATAGGACGTTTCTGGCTCATGCTTTTAATATAAAGCAGTGTTATGGGCCACTTGTACGTCATATATTAAAAACAGTGTTTTGGAAGTGAGCCCAAAGAAAAGGAAGTTAGTTTATTTGCCTGCATAAAATTTTTGGTTGCATGTTAACACTAACCACTGTATCTCATACAAAGAATGCCAAAATCTGCTTTCAATGGAAAATTTTATGTGCTGGAACTGGGAATCGTATCCAAAATTCTCAAATTAAAACAACTAATCAACATAATGATAACCATAAGCCATATACGTTAATGGGATTTTTATTTTCAGTCTCTAAGCAATCAGTATTTTAGAATAAAAATGCAGTAGTAAGTGAATATTATGGGCCTGCGCTCATTAGTCTGTACTCCTTGAGTGTTGTTAAGATCTATTATTAAAAAGTATTAATCTTTAATCTCCTGGTTTGGAGATTTGGGGAGACCTGTGTAGAGATGTAAAACATTACTCAGGCTCAATGGATTCTTGTTTACAGAAGGCCATGAGATACGAAGTTTTGGTGGGTTTTTTTTTTTTTTTGTTAAACTGAAAACTCAGAGTTTCCCCCACCCAGTTCCACTAACCTGATTTGTGAGCAAATTGTTCCATGGGTATAGGAACACCTGAATTAACTTCTGGGGTTTCAGTAGTGTGCAGTCTGGGCAGGTGGGAGTAGCAGGTATGGACACTCATGGGCTGGTTCTGCAAGAGCCACTTTGGTGTTTTGGATTGTGTGCCCAGGCTCACTCGTTCAGCCGGAGTTGAGCTGGCTGCCTGTGGTACATCAACATCCAGGATTTTCCCAGGAGTTTTTAGGCCTCCTGTGTGTCCCCTAATAGCAAAGAAGTGGCTGCATGTCCTTATAAAGATGTCTTTGGTCCAGAAGATGATGAAGTTCAGCTGAGACATCTTGGCACGTCATTGGCAGGACTGTATGGGCTGTGCAGCCAAGAGCAGAGTACCGGCAATAACATTAACAGCTGCCTCTGGTAACGGTATGTGAAAATGTTCCCATGGATCCAGAGTCTTTTGTTAATTTTCTTTAAAATACTGCTCTTACTTAGAATGTCATTGGCATCATTTTCTGGGAGGCCATAAAGATGTTAGATGAATTCACCACTGCATTCATACCCATGGTGAAAAAACTCTGAGAAAAACAGACCGCTTTTCCAGACTCAGGTGTTCCTTTGCAAAACTAATTTGCATTCCCAAATCAGGTGGGAATGGTATTTCACCTGAGGAGAGAAGAGGGGTGTGAGGAAAAACAGGAAATTGGGTTGAGAGGCTAAATAAGTGAATAAGGAAAAGAAAGAGAAGATGCAAGGTAAAAATAAAAGTAGATTCCCAGATGTTTAAAAGGTAATTTTTGCATGTCAGGGCTGTAATTCCACTGCTCTTTTCAGGTAACTTTGTGAGCTGCTCAGACTTTGCCTTTGTGGCTTCACATCCCTGGAACCCCTCAGTGGAATTACAGCATCATAATTTAAAGGCATCTGTTCCTTATTATATACACTGTACAGTGGATATAGCAGAATTCCTGCTGCCAGCTAGCAAGAAAGAGAAGTAATATTTCACAGCTCTGAAGCAAAGGAGGTCTGTATTTCACAGTTATGACAACATAGCTGTCAAATATGGCTTTTTAAAGTGTTACATATGAACCCAGACAGTTTTTATGGTAGCATTTGTTTCGGGGGCAATTTAAGGTGAGCCTTTAACAGTCTGAAATACAGCTACTTGAGAAACTGTCTTTCCTATTATTGTTAGTTATAGTTATTAAGATCAGCTTCTAGGTGCTTTATGTCAGGTCTCCACCATACTGTGGTTGCTGCTTTCTGCAGAAGAATACCTGTTTGGTTTCACTGAGTAGTATGTTACTCCATGTCAATACACGGATTGCAGGTATTTGTGTAGTTTATCTGTTGGGTGGAGTGTAGTAGGTGCTTCATGCAGAAGATATAATAAAGAAAAAAGTATGTTAGAAGATTGTGAATGGCCATGGTGTTGTGTCTGCTCTGTGAAGGATGCTGGGATATGCCGTGTAGTATCTTGCACAATGTCTGCTGAGCTGCTCTGAAAAGCTTTGGCTCTACTCACTCAGTGGAAGACTGGCTTCTATTCAAAGAAGCTGTAGTGATTTAGTTGGATCAGGAAATGTAGTGAAGGATGTTCTGTGACTAGCCAATCTAGGTTGCTGGGCACCTTAAGGTGAGGGTGTCATGTTCTCTGGTAGTTTAGATACACCAGTGGTATTGCAGAAGTTCAGTAAGAAAGTGCTTTTATTTCATCTCTTGTGAGCATTTCAGATGATGCCACTTGGGAAGATTTGCACATGCTCTCCCTTCTTTTACTGGGTTAAATATGATAAGCTATCTGCAGAAGTACTTAAACCCATTGTTCTTAGCTAAATTATGGTCATTTCCTAGGGAAGTTTTAAGGTTTACCCTGGAAGATATTCCTATAGTCTTCAGAGAGCACTTCTTAAGATGCAGTGTTGCCATCAACAACAGATGCCTTAAGTAGACGCACAGTATCACAGAGTCTGCTATGCAGCTGAGCTATTCTGAAAGCATCATTAAGAGGTTTAAATCTGATTTCAATGTCCTAAGCGGGAATGAATGAACACCACGTTCTCTATTTGAAGTTTTTCCAGAGTTTGGTAAGGTTTTTCCACTTACGAACTTGTGATTGTACTACTTAATATCAAAATTATGACCAAGAAGTGCAACAGAAAAAAAAAAGGCTCAGATCCAAAAATGTCACATTTGGTTGGCTTGAAATAATATTTTTCATCAGTTACCTCTAGGGGCTGATAATAGCAGGGTAACTTTCTGTATGTCATAGCATAATAATACATAATAATACAGCAGAAGGTTTATTGGTACTTTCCGTCAAGTGTTGCAAAGGATCAGCTGTTCTGCAGTTTTGTGACTTCTGAGTTATTGTATGCACAATAAATAAGTCTGCGCTATTTACATTTAAAGAGGATTGCTATTCTTGAGCTTCATTCTTATGTACTTGTTGGGCATGCCAAAGGCTTTTTCTGCTTGTTGTGCATAAAAGTTTATGTAGCACGTGGCTTTGATTTGAGTTGTGCTGCTGAAAGTGATAACAGATTTCTTCTCTACTCTTTTTATCACATGGAAAAATTAGCTACACAGATGATGTAGAAAAGTAGGAGGTTGAAGCTATAGTCCTTACGTAGTCTTACAAGCTTTTGGCCTTGTAATTCTGTGATAGTGTTCAAGTGTTAAGAGCTCAAGAGGAGTGGGTCTGCAGACAAAAACATGTCTAAGGAAGCCAGTAGGAGACTATGAATGAATACCTCTTCTCAGTCCTTTGCCCCCAACAATATTAATTGAGATTGTTCTATACTTCATTGACTGTGAAGCTTTACAGTAGCCACAAGATTTATGGGTTGCATAAAGTTGTAGTAGCAGACTGTTACATTTAGGCAGAACTTGGGTTTTGTTATTTTATTTGGTTTTTCTGTTTGAAGCTGTTGCCTTTTGTTGGAATTGAGGTATTAATTGCAGTGGTTTGCTCTGCTCTTCTCAGTGCCAACACTTTGGTCCTTAATGTGTGTTTTTCTCTTTTTTCTGATGAGTTGTACACATGGCTGCCATGATAACTTAGCGAGATACTCGTTTTATAAATGTTAGCAGTCTATGGAGGGAAGGCACTAGGAAATGAAGTTTTTGGGAGGAGGATTAATTGAAGAGTGCCTTCTCCCTTTCTTTTAATTTCTCTTCAGATAGTTAAAGCTGTTATCACAGTTTTCCATGTTGGAATTTTTAATTAGTTCTATGACTTTGGGATTTGTGTGTAGAAGTGCTCAGCCTTTGCTGAGATGTCACATACAAAAATGGATGTGCAGCCAAATCTTCAAAGCTGTTCTGCAGAATTGGAGGCATTTAGCACTGGCTGAGTGAGGTAGAGGTAATGGTTTACAGCATACAGTTTTATTTCTATTAATTGTTCAGTGATGGTGTTTTCTCTGATTTTTGTTCGAGTACCTCGGGCTATTAACCTTTCCTTACTAGGAAAACACATCTGCAAGAAGCAGAAGTGTGAGGCTGGGAGGCCTATACACCAGGAAAATGGGTGTGAATAACAACACATAAAGAGAATAAACCTGAATCCCTCTGCTCTGGAATTTATACCTCCTACATTTCCTTCCAAAATGTGAAGCCAGATGCTCTGCTGATAACTATGAAGTAGAATAGGAAAGAATCAGAAAACACAGAAGGTTTTGCTTTTGAAGTGAGGAATTTTAAAACTGATCTTAGTTTAGAATGAAACACACACTTTCTTGAAACGGTTGCAAATGATATTTGTCTGATAAATTCATCTTGCTCAGCAGTGTCTGTGAAACATCAGCATTGAGAGATGTAACAGAAGTAACTGCTTCAGCAGGGGTCATTTTGCCAACCATTGAACATTTCATCTGAGAAGGCATACAAGCAAGTAGGCTAAATTTACTTTACAGCTCGTAAGCAGGCGCAGTAAACAAGTAGGAAAAATGTAATACGTCCAATTTCAATTTGCAAGGAAGGAATGTTTCAGTCAGGTTTTTTTCACCCCTATATCACAGCTTAATCACCTGTGGAAGAGTCACTGCAGCATCTTCCGTTCCATGCGTAGCTCCCAGGCTATTCCATGTAGCAGAGGTTGCTTTGGGAACACCATGAAAAACATACTCAGTAGTAGCACTGCATAAGCTGTTCGTTCATGTCTGAGTACCCCTTTGTAACCAGTGCAGTGGGAAATTTCAAAGCAGGAGTTCAGCTGTGTAGCTTCTTGGTGCCAAGGGTTCTCAAATATATCAAAGTTGCAAATGTGAGGCTAGATAGTTTACATGATAGTGATTTATAACTGTTGACACATCCTCATTCAAGCCGTGTGCTATTCATGTTTGTGTTTGTTTTTAATGGGGAATGTTTAAAAACGGATAAATAATTACTTTTGTCTGGTCAGAGATTTAGAGAGGAAAAACAATACTTATAAAAGATGCTTTATTTTTAGGCACTGTTGAATCCTCTCTCTTCTTTCTTCCTAAGAAGAAAAAAAAAACCCACCAAAATCCAACAAAAAAAAAAAGAAAATCCAACTGTGGTTATTGCAGTGAAGCCAAACTGAAATCTATTTATAAGTGGCCATGTGAGATGTACATTATGACTGCATTCAGTCTGCTTCTGCTGTTCCTACCTCTGCTAAGTATAATAATTTCTGGCATCTCTGAAGCAAAAGATGGGTTACAAATAGAGGATTTTGGCCTTTATAGTTAAAAATGTATTCCAATATGTACATATAATATATATGTAAGTATATATCTGCTGCAGCTCTTATTTCTTTGATACTGTTTTATTGCATAACTTAGAAAAGAAATACTCATTGTAAATGAATCTTCATGTTTTCTCAGAAGTACAGCACTGCAGTTTTTGTAATGGCAAGTGTAAGCTACAGGAAGAGTACTGGTAGAAAGTTCTGTAAGGGAAACACATTTTTACTTGCTTGTGTCCCAGGTCCAGTTTTGCTCTTTGTGCGTATTTACATTTATGCTCTGTGTTTGAGTGTATGAAGTTTACTTGTACGTGTGTACGTGTGTGTGTACACACGCATTGAAATGAAGGACTATGTACTTGGATGCTGGTTTGACCCGCATTACTGTTACTCAGCTCGGCTGCTGAATTATGCACTGGGGGACTGGGCAGCATGATGGAAAGACAAAATCACAACAAATAGAGTAGTGGTAGATCAGTAACAGAGGGTTTACTTGGCTATTTAGTATCCATAAAACAGTAATATTAAAAAATACAGAAAATTAATTGCATAAAATATTATTAGGACTGAAGTAATGGAAATGAGAGGAAAAATGAAAGACAACAAAGCTTAGATAAATGATATTTTTGGAGTATCTGTTCCTTTCAGTGACCATGGCAAAGCCACTGCCAGTGGAAAGCATGATTTAGTATCAGAATTGGAAAAAAATCACACTATTATTTGGTTGATGGTGCAGTTTTTCCTGCTAGGTACGTGACTTTTCTGGCAACTGTGATTTGTTAATCCCATCTGGAATTCTGTACAGCAAACTTCTGTTGACAACAGTGCAGGAAATACTGGAGTAGCACTATAAGCAGCAGGACTATGTTTAAGAAATTATAAGTGTTCTTCAGTTTCCTCCTAGTCAAATGTAAAGAATTACAGATGGATGCCCCAAAGAGAGCAAACCCATGTACTCGTTAATGTTTTGCTCAATTACTGAAAAAGTGTTCTGGTTGTAGTTATGTGTTTGCAGATTAACATCCATTAGAGCTGTCTAGTGGAACTGTGAAGCGACTAAACTTTCAACAAGTAAGTAAATACCAGCTTGGTGGTTTTGAGTTAGTTTCCAGTCCCCATGTTTAGACATAAAACTCCAAAATTATCTTCTTACACAAACATTTGGAGACAGGATAAAAAAAAACCCCAAAGAATGGATGATTTTTTTAAAGAACATTTCTATTAAAATATTTGTATGAGTGAACAAGGCTCATTCTTGCAAAACTAACATTCTCTTTTCAGTATAAATCTTAAAGTATTAAGTAGATGTATTAAAATTTTATAACTCATGACTTCCTCCTGTGGTGGCTTAAAAAAACCCAATAATTAAAAAAAAAATAGAAGTATATCAACCATCAGTTATCTCTGAGCAGGACAAGGCCTATCTGGTGCTTATTTAAGCAATACATAAAATATTGTAAGGAAATGATCTACAATGGAAGTAAGTGACACTGTTTCTTAAATATTTTCATTATAGTTTCCGGTACTTGGAGAGATTGAAAGCCCTGTGGTATTGAATCTAACTACATGTTGGATATTAATGTGTTTTATGTTATCTTATAGCATAGAAGTCATAGAGCAATAAATAATTTAGAAAAATTGTAAACCACTTAATGCTTCAGAGATTTCATTCAGTGTATTTTTGTGGTGTAGTAAAAGAAAAATGTTAAAATCATTTATAAGAATGCTGTATGTAAAGTGTTTCTTCAAACAATACATTATTCTAAATGCCCTTTCTGACAGTCCCATTCTCCAAGATGTCTTAAGTAAAAAAAACTGCAACAAAACAAAAGGAAGAAAACTAGTACTGGTGCAGAATTGTAGTGTGATATTAGTATGATATTAGTATGATACTGGGGCATTTTAAGGTTTTTTCCTAGCAGCGTCTACTTGAACTTGTCATATGTGCTGAAAAACTGTCATTGATCGATAGTTCCAGGTCTTTTTCCTGATTGCTGGAGGGATATATGGAATCTCGTGATATATTTACCCACTAACGGGGCCTTGGTCTCTAGGAAAGCATATGTAACATCAGATTTATAAGGATCCTTTCCCTGCAGCTGGAAAACCTAGAAAGGAATCTATGATACATCTGCTTCTAATGCAAATCATTATCCTCTTGAAATCACGCAATGGTTTTCCTGTTTCCCGAAGGTAACACCAGGTGTCTTCCTTTGTGTAGGGGCTGCTGTTTAGGAAATGTATGTGGTTTTGCTTTGATACGACTTCTAGTGTTGTAGAATCTTTAATCAAGATTCAAAAGATGCTTTTAAAGATACGCTTTCTCAGAGACAAAATAGCCTTTGGAACTCCTTGGGAATCTGTATCAAATCTACAAGCATGTGTAAGAGTATTAATGCACAAATGATCTGTGTCTGCTTACTGACTGTGTTTGTTTTCCACAGTTTTTAAGTCGTAATTTGTTGTTGCCTGGACACTGGCATGAGATAAACACATGTCACAAAGCTGGATTTTTGTCTCTCTTTCAGAGGGTTCGCAGAGTTCAGTTTCAGCTTCTAATGAGATCCAGCAGAACCAACCACAAGCGCTACACTATGCACTAGCCAATGCTCAGCAGGTTCAGATCCACCAAATAGGAGAAGATGGACAAGTCCAAGTAGTATGTACTCAACTTTTTCTAAATGATTCCATTTAAGTAACCTAGTTTATTGCAGCCTTTGCTTCAGTTTAAGTTTCGTTTTTTGTTTTGAAGTGGCCTATTGTCATTTAAATGTGATTTTCAGAAAATAAACACTGAAAGTTTGTAAAAAAAATCTTATTTGGCAAAAAATCTTCACACAGGATGTGTTCATGCAATTATTGCAAACAAATGCACATCGATTACTATATATAGAATGACTCGTCTCCACCTGGCCGTTTGCTTGCACTTGCCATAATAATAATAGTAGACGTACTCAATGTATGATTTACACTTCAGAGGTAGTTCCAGCTATGACTTTCAAAACAAGAATGCATTTATTTATATATTTTCATTAAAAAAACTATGCATTCTTAGGCATTTTTGAGCATCTGCTAGCTGAATCCCTTACGTGTGTATTCATTTAGATACATGTGTATAAGTAAAAGTTATAAATATTGACATTTTTTTAAGCCTGAGACTCCTACCATCACTCAGCCATGATTATTTTTAGATAAGGTTTTAGTGTACTCTGAAAAAAACTCAGGTTGGCTTTGCTTCCTGTGTAGTACAGTTTGGCTACAAGGATTGTTTCAAATTCAAATTAAAACAAAACAACCCACAAAGCCCCAAAACTCAACTGGACTAGGCAGTGTCCAAGCGCAAAACAGAAGCATGCACAGAGATGTATGTGCCTGCTCTGCGTGATGAGCACATAAGACCATTTCCCTTAGAAACCAGACTAAAAAAGCCAGGTGGAAATGGGCAAATAATCAAGAATTCCTGAGATGTTACTCAATGACATAAAATGTAGTAGCTAGTGGTCTGGCTGTTGGAAGAGTTTTGGTCAATGTCCTTACAAAGAAGAGTCTGAAGTAGAGTAATGAATAGATATTTGATAGGTATTTATAGTATTCTCTTCCCAGGTAAGAGATGCAGTGCAGGAGAGGAGAAAATCTGTCCAACTGAATAATTTACACATAAAGAATGAAAACTCTGTATCAACACAGCAAATACTCAAGTCTGGTCATGCAGGCATGCAAATAGCATGGAAATGGTGACATTGCTCTGAAAGATAATGAAGAAAAAAGGGCTGTGAAAGACTGATACATTTGGAATCTTATTAAAAAAGGACATGTCTGTAAGACTGCTACTAAGAGTAGCAGTAAAGGAGTCGTGGAAACTGGGGGAAGATTTCAAGATACGCACCACACTGTTAAAGGCAACTGGCAGAGCTGTAAGCACTGCTTAAAAGGAGCACTTAAACATTAGCCAGAATATTTTTTAAGGAGTGCATGAAAGTGAAAGGAGTTGAAATGAAAGTCATTGGGAGAAACTCCAGTCAGCAGCTGTAGGAGTTGTGGAGAGGCAAATGCACTATAGAGTAGGCCAACAGTTATTAGTAAGGTAGTAGATATTTCTAGTATGTATGTTTAAAAGAAATCAATATTGACTTGGATTTGTGAACAAACTAAAAGGGCTGTCCTTTGAAGGTCAGCTGTGTATCTGCAAAAGATGAGTGAGCATTTCTCTTCTGGAATGCTGCATAATACAAAGATGAATAAAGTCACCTTCTTCCCCTCTCTCTTTAATCAGAAAGGAGGGTGGCTTATATTTGAAAACTCTATAAATGGGTCTTTTAAATGTTCAGTGCTTTTTCCTGGGAGCCCTGAGAGCTTGATGTTAAGGAGGGAAAGTGATGCTAATCTCAACATGGACTGGGCTGTGCTATAATTTTATATACGGTCCCTATTGTCAGAGCAATACTTTCAGTATGTTTTTTCTTCCTATAAATAGACAGTTTCCTTCTAGAGGAAATGAAACTGTTTGAAATAGAGGGATCTGTGTTTCTTTGAAAATCATATGCAATTGTTCTTGTGTTATAAAATAAGAAGAGCCTTTGACAGAATTCCAAATGATTATCTTTAATCTCTGTCTCATGCAGGCATATTAAAATGAACACAAAGCCTTATAAACCCTGAAGTAGGTTATTTAGAATCCAATCTCCCTTCAGGTAAATCACAGTAGCAAGGACTTCACTGGGCTAGTCAGGATGCACAAGGAATTCCGTCCACTCTTATCCATGTTTTGATCAAATGGTTGGCTTGATACTGTTCTGAAGTGGTGGGTATGGTCAGCAATACAAAGTACTAACATTATTAAAACTGTTACAACAGATTATCCACTAACATAAACCAATGTAACTGCATTCAAATTAACTATTTCATGCCAATTTACAGCAGCTTGAGAGTCTTTAGCATGGTACTGTACTTCAGCTGAACTATGGGAATGCATAAAGCTCTTTGGACACTTACAAATAACCTTTTAAAACCTTGCTCTTAGCAAGTAGCTAGCCTTGGCATATCTGTTTCAAGAACTGAATTTCCAAGGTCTTTAAATGGGATTAATGTTTCAGGCACAATGCTGATCTGCCAGAGCAAGTTAGTCCCATACTTTGTGTATCAATCAAAAATGCAGACACTGTGTCTGTAGAGAAATGTGCTACATAAATGTTATTTATTATTATGCCCATTTTGTTTCCTTTTATGTGAAAATGAACCATTCTTTCTTCAAAGTCCTTCTGCTTATACTTTGCATAACAAGATGGGGAAATATGTATGCACTTTATTATTTTTAAAGCTCTCTTTAGTGGTTTTCATTGAATAAGCATTTGGCTTCCGTACGTTAAGCTGTATTGAATCCAAGGTAATAGCCTCTTCCTCTAGTTATGATTGTCTTCTGATGCTTCTTCATGTTTTCTTTTGTTGCGGATCCCACAGGGCCATCTCCACATAGCCCAGGTTCCCCAAGGCGAGCAAGTCCAAATCACGCAGGACAGTGAGGTGAGCCAAAAGTTTGAGTACCTGTGGATAAGATGTTGGCCAGAACATAGGGCCCCAATTCTAAAACTGAACCTATGAGATCCGTTACAATACTCTACAGAGAACAGCAGGAGTAGAAGTGAGAGCATGAGGTGGAGCCAGGATGAAATGAGTTTTATGGCAGTATATGCAATATGCTCTTTCTGTCTCTGGGGGAGTTGTGGGTTTCTTTTTGTTTGTTTGCGTTGGGTTTTTTCTTGACCAACCAAGACAGCTCTGTGTGTGTGTGACTTGAATGACTGTTGTATATGGCTGATAGTCTTTGGAAATTTAGTACTTACAGAGTATTATAAGAAACCAGTTTAGGTATTTGCACTGCCTTTGAGAAATGAAATTATTTTAATTAGGTTTATGAGCTCAATGTGTTCAGAATACTTGGTGTCTTTAACTGTGGGAACTGTTGAACAGGACTTGGAGAAACCTTCAGACTCTGTCTAGTAAAGATACATTGCAGAATGAAGTAAACTGATTGAGTAATCTGACACTGAGGTATTTGCGCTTCATATTGTTTTCCATAATCATAGTGTAGTAGAATGGAAATGGATAAATCCAGTACTGAACCCTCTAGTTTTGACTCCCCGGCAAAATAGCTGTTAAAGCCAGATGAATTTACCTGGGTGGGAGTGCTGTTGGTTATTTCTTGGAATCATACGATAGTTAGGTTTGGAAAGGACCTTAAGATCATCTAGTTCCAGCCCCCCTGCTATGGGGAAGGATGCCTCACACTAGGGCATTTAAAAACATATAGAGACTCCTAACTGCTAAGACTGCTGATTTCTTGTGCACTTTGTTTACATGAAGAAGCAGTAACTATATAAGTTTAAACATAAATGCAGCCTACAGTTTTAATCTACTGTTTTCCTGTATTTTACTCAATGTGAAGCACATCTGTTTGTGGGTAGGCTTAATCCATTTCTGAAGTACCTTAAATCACATCTCATAAAACCACTTTTGTTGAAGAGGGGTATTGTTAACAAAGGGAGCTATTGTAGAATAAATATTATTGTAAATATTATATAAATATTATAGTTAAAGGCAGTCTTCTTTGAAGAGCTTCTCAGACAGAGGGGCAGATAAGGAAGGATCAAAATGTTCTGGGTCTAAAGGGATGTATAATGTGCTACAACAAAACTGAAGCAGATTTTGGGTAATGAGACACTGAAAAAATTATGATTCAGCAGATACTAATTGTAATTGATCCTGAGGTGCCCGTTGGCTTCCTCTGGAGTTCCTGTGTGTAAGACTTTTAAGGACTACATCTGTCCATGACAGATGAAAACATCTGGTTTTAAATTTATTACAATGTACACAGCTTCAAATAAGAGAAGTGCTGCCAGTAAGAGAAAATGCAGAAAATATGCAAATCAAAGAGCTGGTGGGGTTTTTTTCCTCAAAGAAACGTGCTGTTTCACTGCATGTCTCTGTGTTTAGGAAACTGTGTTTATAATCCAAGTATACTTCTGAAAAGACGTATCTGCACATAAGAATAAAAGCTTCATTTTGAAAGATACTGCTGTCCTTTTTACTTTGTAGCTACAGTTTCCTTTAAATACTTTACAATATTGATTTTATTTCGTAATAGATGTAACTTATGTGGCAGAACTATGATGGTCTTGGTATCAAATTTTGATGAAATAAAAAAATCTGGTAGCTCAGGCAGCAACTTCGTAACAACCAATAGTAGATCGTACTCCACACACATAAAAGTGTTAATACTGCTAATTCTAGTTTAGTAGTTTAAATTTGCAGTTTTATATAAATAAGGAAAACCCCAAAGCTTACCTCAAAAGCCATGCAAACAAACTCTGCATAAAAATATTGTACATCATACAGTAACTTTCAGAAAGCAAAACATGCTGGTGCTGAAAAGCTTCCTTGCTTTTTAGTCTGTTTATCCTCTGTGGTTAAAGTGCTGACCATCGAATTGTAGCTGCATTGCCAAGATAACCCTCAGCAGAATTTCCTAAATTAATAGATTTCCTTAATATTGAAGTTGTTTAATAATGAGATGAGAAACAGGCCTGTTTCAGGACAGACCAACTTGTAAAATTTGTAAGTAATTTTAATTGTAACTGCTCTTATTTTACAGGGAAACCTGCAGATACATCAAGTTCATGTGGGTCAAGATGGGCAGGTAGGAACATAACTGAGTTTTAAGCATAATTTTACTTTGGTCTTTAAAATTAATGTTGCAGTTGGAATGATCTCACATTATTTGTGGCTGATTTAAAGAGCAAAGTCTGTTCTGGTCTTTCTGTTTTAATAAACAACTTGCAGAATGATAACATGTAAGCTAAGTACTTTGTCCATGAATTCAAAGTATTTGCTCAAGCTTATTTCATTACTCCTGTAAGATGCTTTTATATCTTTTATAAGATGAAGTTTATACCTTCTTGTCTTTGGTCCTTTCACTCTCAAATCTACTAACTGGATTGTTTAGATTGTGTACAGTATGTTCTTTTCTCTGTTACCAACTGTCACTATGGCCAGATGTGGGCTGCAGTCCATGCTAACCAAAGAACATTTATTGCCAAGGTTTAAGTAGATATTTTTTCATTATATGGCTGTCTTGGGAGAAACAGATCTTTTCATATCTGCTTTAGTTGTTTTTGATAAGATGGCTTTATTAGGTGCTTATGCATACATGAGGTAAAAAAAAGAAGCTTTTACTTTGAGTGATGAGTCAGTAAGTGATTAAATTAGCAGAATTTCCATGTTAGGTGTCAGCAAAATTCCTAACATTTGATCTCAGTCACACTTTAGTAAATGCTGAGTTGTATTAAAATATCCACGGCACAAAAATATTCCTGTAAGAAGCTTTCTAGCCAGGCCACTTGAATAAATGTGTTTTGAATTTTTTTTTGTTCCTGTTGAATATTAATAAGTTGTGAGACATATGGCTAGGATGTGAATATTGCCCTGAAGTGAAGCGGCTCACATCATAAAGGTTCTTGAACTCAAAGGCTTTCAGAAGCTACCAGTACTCTGAACTTTTGACCACATACAGTATTCATGTAGGGAAGCAATATGATTTGTATTAAAAAAATAAACCCCCCAACATTTTAAGTATTCTTTACTGAGACGTTAATCAGGAATACTTTTACAGAAGTGACACTAGGAGAGGTCATTTCATTTGGAGACATGTCAGAACCTTTGTTTGAGTACTTGTTGTTCTTTTTTCCTGCTTTGTGAAATACTGCTGGCCAAATACCTTCTTTAAAGACTAATATTGGGTGATGGTGTGCCACTCTGACATGCAGATTAATTACTTTAAAAAAAATATTATAGCCTAGTACCATAATTTTTCCCCTTGGAATACCTCTTCCGAACAAGGATCCACAAATATAATCTTTCTTAAGCTTCATTGCTTGGTTGTATTTAAGACGTTTTGAGTTCATGCTGGTTGTAAGTGAAATGTTTGGACGACTATGTTTTCCCAAGCCCTCTGTTTTAGGCAGGAGAGTCAAATTCTTTCATACAACAGTGGTATTCTGCTAAGTCTCATGCTAAAGTAGGCATGAAGTAAGAAACTACCCAGGGAGGCTGTGAATGCTCCATCCCTGGCGGTGTTCAAGGCCAGGTTGGACAATGCCTTGGGTGGCATGATTTAATGTGAGGTGTCCCTGCCCATGGCAGGGGGGTTGGTCCTTTCCAGCCCTAACTATTCTATGATTCTAACTGTAAACTCTAGAGAGGTAAAAAACTTCCACACTCTAAATATCTGTAAGGGGAGTATTGCTGTTTGTCTGATCAGCTGTATTAGTACATGTAGGGTAAGGTTACTCTGGAAGAAAGGTTTTCTACAAGTACATGTTTGTAAATGTGTATATGCACATTTCGCTGCATCTATATAGAACATGGTATGTGTTGAGGTGTGTGAGAGTACAAGATAGGGAAGAAAAGCATGTTTTAGTCTTTCTGTTGTTGTTGAAATCAGCATCACTTTATCTATAAAAAGTCATTGGTACTATGACACAGTACATATTTGTATACATACTGTGTATATGTACTATTTGTATGTCATACTTGACATCTTGCTTCTACCCAAGTGGTTGTGGCTGCGTGCGTGTATGTAGGAAATCACTTCAGCATCCAGTCTTCTGTTTTTTAGCTGACTGTACTCTGGGCCCTGCTTTTAAACGTCCCAGGAAAGCAAGCAGTGAAGTGCTGGAGTAGTTTTTCTTCACACCCTCAGCTATGTTTTGGTTCAGAAAAGTAACTGCTGCCTCTTGAGCATCAGCAGGCATTGTCACACATTCAGCTGGAACCTCTGCAAATCCCCAGGAGCCCTCAAGCTCCTCCAGAAGTATTTGCTGCTCAACTGTTTTCCAGTGGAGCAAAAAAATAGGAGGAAGAAAATATTTAGGGGATTTTTATCTCCATTCTGCATTAATTTTGAACCCTTCATCAGCAGTTTTAAGCCACGTGGGCCTGTTTTGCACTGAAGTGGATGAGTAGCACTCACATGATTCCTTACAACAGCTCCGTGTGTCTGTTAACACGAGGGGTAGAGGGAAGCCTCGTGCCTCAACTGTTTCCTGCTCATCAGCTGATCTGTGCTAAGCGCCCATTTTTTGAGCTATTAGCTCATAAAAGTTGCAAGGAAAAGTGAGTTAAACCATGTTTGTGGTTTAAGAATGGAAGTTGAAACTAATACATTTTCTTTGGCACTTATAGTGGGATAAGAGCACAAAACCTTGTCATATGATACGGTTCAGTGGTAATGGAAGTCATAACAATCCAGTAGCTTGTGATCATCTGTACATGACCTGTGAGCAGGGAGACTTCTATAGTTTTCCCACCTGTCCATTAGTTTTCAGGAGAGTGGCTTTTTCTTCCATGTTTTGAACTCGTAATACATGCTGCCAAGGGACACTACAGAATATTGATAAGTGAATAATGTGGCACTTCTGTTACTAAATGTTTTTAGCTGACTACTAATGGTAATAGATTTTGGCTTGGCTACCAAATAGTCCCTTTGAAAATTCATCATTTGCTACTGTTCTCCATCTGTTACTGTACACTTCACAGATGTTGGGTAATCTCTTGATTCAGGTGAAGCTTAGTACTGCCACCTGATGCAGGCGTTCAATCTGAATCACAAGTAAAAGGTTTTCAAAAGCTGGGGATGCAAGGCATATGTTAGCTTCATATGAACTAAAGCATAAAATGGCATAAATTTACTGTGAAACTTTATCAGTAGAATTTCCAAGGTGAATAAATGTTTTAAGCTTTTAACAGTTGTAATAAATACCAGCTTTTCTGCAGAATGCTGCCTGTTGTTGAACTTCTTTTTCCTGTTTTTGAATTGCCTATCCAGGTAGTTGCACTGAATTTAGATTTTGTTTTCTGGCATCATTTTTCGTGGAACTAATGAAATAATGCCAAAAAGAATGCTGTCTACCTACACATGTGTTCTATTAGCTGAAAGTTTCATATTTCGGTGCATGTTTAATAAAAATGCCGAAGTGCAAAAATAATTAGAATTCATGTTAACTAACACTTGAAGCCTCAGACCAGCAGGGACTTTTTCAACTTTACATTTTATACTTATGATTATTGGAAGATTTCTAATTTGTGTGTCTTTCCTCTTATTACTTTTCTCCCTAACTCCATCCTTTTCACCCTTTGAGCGTGAATGTTCCTTATCCCAGAAGTCATTCCATGTGTGTCCTGCACAAGCTGACATAGTACCACAGTGTTCGTATAGGTGGGGTTTAATGAGGTGGAACAGTTTCAGTAGTTTGACAGTCCTTGATATTGTGCATTTTGGACATTCTGGTTTGTATGTCCTCACAAGCCAGTGTTTCTCCAATTTAGAAATTAATTAAAATGACACCAGACAGATGGTCTTCAACTAATAGCCTTAGTTCTTAAATTAAAAAGTTAATGCAGTTTAACATCTAAAATATGATTGTATGCATTCTTGGAGAGCTGGCAATTTGTTCTGCTTCATGAATGAAAAATTAATAAGAGTAGGAGCATTTAGTTCACTTAGTATCTGTAGGTAAGTAGAAGAAGCAGGAGAACCCAGAACAAAGAGTATGTATGATAGATTTAGCAGCAAAAAACTAGTGAAAATTGCTTTTGTAGTAATCAGTCTTCTTACTGTGTGCATAAAAACAAATTCTGTGTGCAAATAAACATGCAGAGTTGCTCTTCTACGTAAGGAACTTGGCATCTTATGTAGTTGAAGTCATAGTCTCTTGCAGATTAAGTTTATAATCAGTTGTGTGGTGAGACCCATCCATAGCTGTAGAATTGCGTATACGTAGAGAGAGGGGATCACATTAATAAAACATTTTCCTGGTGCTTAATGAGATATTTGTATGGAGCAGTGATTGCATTGCCTTTTTCTGAACCGTTACTCTGACCTTGCTGCTATGAGCTTTATGGCAGCTCTGGGGTCTGAAAGAGTTCAGATGCAGGGCTGTTAGGGTAGATCACCAAGTGAGCTTTACAAAAGCATCCTTGTAATGTGTAATGATTGCATGAGAGTAAATGAATCCATGATAGGAAAATATATTCTTGGAAAACTGCTGTAGTGATGGTGAAAATAGAGCAGACATGAGAGCTGCCTAGTAGCAGCTAGCTGCCGTTGGGCCTGAAGAGTTAGAATATAGACGTGTGTGAGAAATAGATCAGTGAGACATTGTCTTTAATGTCCTCCGGAGGAGTATGAATCTGATGTCTCATTCAGATCTGTTTTCAATACACATAGTACAGCCTGTAATGCAGCACAGGAGGAGATGTGACCTCATCACCTATGTTTGAAACATCTGTCCACTTTCTGTGCTCTACTGAGTATGAAGCAAAGGGAAAGCTGTTAAATCTTGGAGGAATGGAAAAGGGTGACAAATAGTTCCAAATGTTAAGGGGGGAAAAAAACCTATTCTAGTAATTTCATGTAATATTCAGTGAATCTTATTTGTGACTGAATCAAACTGAAATGAAAATACATTGGCTTGTGGAGGAAATTATTAACAAACACATGGGATGGTCTTAAACCAACTCTGTTAACATCAGGTTTTTGTATCTGTTTACCCCCCAGTCATTAGTGAGATATTCACACCTTGCTTTTCAGTGGGGGCACCTCATGTTTTAAAGGCCCAGTTTAATCCATGACAGGAGCAT